GATAACATGATTGCGACTTTTCAATGACACATGTTCCAGCAGGAAGAACTTCAGGTATGTTCTGAAGAATCTAAATTTCAAACTCTGTCCTTTTTTAACAACTTAATGGAAAAAACAAACAGGCTTAGGCTGCAACGCTCTCACCACCAGTGAATGCAGTTGGTCTTTCTTATGATGTTTTAGACATTTCTGCCAGAAAGTTCAGACTCTGTCATCCAGGCGGCGAGAACGACGGTGAGTCATGTGTTGTGATATAGAGGGTTTGGGGATCTAAGGCAGAATTCACAAAACGAACTCAGGGAATGAGCCTTATCATATGAAGGCTGTGATGTACGACCACTGTATTATATTAGTCACATAGCATTTTCTACTTTCACCTGTTCTCATTTACCACTGTCACAGACACCATACATCCAATATCTCTGAAAATTTTAATTAACATGCTCAATTAAAGCCCCTCATCCCTTTTAACGATGAAAGTTAAAATTACTAACTAAAAAAAAATTATTTTACTTCATATTAGTTCCAGAATTAAAATTACAAGTATGGATGTGATCTACAGTGTTTAATTGAAAGATATTAGTCCAGTGTCGGGTCAAGAGGACAGGAGAAACCAGTCTATTTGTTATAACAGTGGCCACACGTACAGCTGTCTGACCATCCTATAAATTATCAGCAGTGACAAATTGCCAATAGTGGCTGTGCAGATTTTCTAATTAATTCCTGAGAGAGAGAAGTTTTTCACTTCTGTCTTGGAACAGAACAGATGGTGAAACTACATTGGATTTTTTTTTTTCACAGCGTCACTGCTCAGTGCTCCACTACCAGAAGTTCAAATTCATTTTCGTACCGATTTAATGAAGTGAGTGAATGAATAGAAAGGTTACATCTACATTTGACCATATATAAATCTAAAATTATAAATGTATATATATTTAAAATCCTTGAAATGTCACTCTTTTAATTTGTTTATGTTTTATATACATTTATTATGTTAATTTAATTTAATTTTCAATTGATATTTATATACATGAACAATTCTAGTAAATGCACTATGTATGTGATTTGGAAATATCTTTCTTTAACGCCACCCAGTGGTAGGATAAAAACAGACACCTAAGAGCTGGACACAATGGTCGCCCAGTGAATGGTCTTGAGGACCCAGTCGAACCTTTACCTCCCGTTCACTTACAATCTTCACTAGTGAGGGAGCGAATGCAACCTTTTTTTTTATACCTGTGATGAGGCAAAGAATTCAGCCCTGGTCCACTTGAACTGTGTTATTCGCTGCTTGTTCACATATGATTAACTGTGGCCCAATTTTCTTAAGGATCATATTATTTCTACAAGAAAAATAATTAAACATCACATAATCAAAACATGTAGAAACTTTAACGAAGCATTAAGAAGCCATAGTTTTTGTACAATACAATACAACATGCTTTTCATTCATTCACATTAAGCCAATGTCCAGTCATATTCGTGACATAAAACAGACACTGTGGGTTTGTGCACTGGGCAGCTGAATGAGGGGACAGGAATAAGGAATAAGGAAAGGTATAATCACCGGATTTGTAGCTATCGACAAATGTGTGACCTTAAAGGGTTGATACACAAATCACACAGTGCTGCATCTGGGGGAGATTTGACATCATAAAGTGAAGCCGGTTTTAACAGAGACAGCAAACAGGGACCAGACATTTATTTCAAATACAGCCAAGTGTTATTGATACATATTGATTTAAGTGTTTTTTAAAATTATTAATTCAAAAGAGGAACAGAACAAGAAACAAGTGTATGCATAGGGTTCTATACAATAACACACAACAAAGCCTGGGGTGTTGTACAGTATCCATATAAATCATATAGATAACATGTAGAATTTCAGGGTATTTAAAGTTTCAACAGCCTCTTTGTTGGGTGATTTGGAAATGATAGAACAATAAGTGCCTGAGACATTATGTGCAAAGGAAAACGGTTCACACCAGGGACACAGCCAAAGGGATTAAAAGTTTTTATGCATCTAGTTTTAACACACAAAAAAAGCACCACGTGTTTTCACAACCTTTTTTTCAGCTCTCTGATCACGTCGCCATGTTGAAGTGGTTGTTGATTAAAAATGTTTGTTCTCATTTTGAATGTGAATTAATTTGCCTTTGGAATGAATAAAACGTTATCTTGTCATTTGATTGTTTGCTCTGCCTTTCGCTTGAGAATTAAAAAAAAAAAAAACTTTATTACAAACAGTGAAAGTTGATATAAGGACGCTCAACAGGGGGCGCTCTGATGTCAGTTGCGTCTGTGTGCTGCGTTCACGTCGGCAGCTGTTTGAGCTCTGCTGCAGATGTTGTCTTCTCGCGAGTTGTGTTCAGGTAAGAGAATCACACTCTGACTCTGTGGCTCCAGAACACAACATGAACTCACCTCAGCTCTGTGAAAATGCGTCATGGCCGCAAAATACTGCTGTGAATTAACGTCCGTGACTGGGATGCGTGTATGTGCTGGAACCCGAGCGATTAGCATAAACCTGTCGCAGGCTAATTACAGAGTCTTGAAACGACGACAACATAAAAGTTATTTTATTTTTACGGGTTTTATTTACTGTGACTTATTGTGGAAGTGTGGAAGTTTGGTTTACTCGAGATGATAGACTCAGTTTATTAGGAACACCTAGCTTTAACAGCCCAATGAGCCTCATACAACCATCGAACCGGGTAATGTGTCGTTCTGACTGCAGTGGTATTAAAGAGGTGTTGATTGTTGGTCTTTGTTGTGCTTTTAAATTGTATTTTCTCAAAACCCAGTGGTGTTTGTGTTATTCTAGTCCACCCACATATACATGAGATAAGATAATGAGACACACGTCGGTCCAACATCACCAGCAGCTTCCACAATCACCATTAACCTTTTCAAACGTTTTTTAAAGCAACGGTTTTGTCTCTGGGTGAATTTTATTATTCGATTTCATTATTATGTAGTTACTATTCTTTAATTGTTGTTTTGTTTGTTTCGATATTTTGTATTATTTTTGTTCTTGCTTTCTCTCCTGGTGAAGCACAGATAAACTGTCTTCTTCTTCTTCTATTATTATTATTAAGTTGAATCCTGTTAATCTTTTTCACGTGTTTGTTACGAAGGAAGGATTTATTGGAGGTATGTCCTGTGAAACGTGTACCTAATAAACTGCACACTGAGTTTAGGCCGTAAATCAGCCCAGTTCAACATGTCCCCCTGTAGTGAACGGTAGTGAACTGTAGTGACAGGGCCTGGTGATTTTTTTCATTTTCATGTTTGCTCCATTAGAAACTTTATTTAGTGCTGCTTAAACACAAGCTTTAATTGCGTGCCTCTGCAGGTTGAGAACTCTTCTGTCCGGACATGAAAATACGTGTTGTTCTAGCTGAAAGCTGTTTTCAACTAAAATGATGATGACAAGTTCTAGAAGATTCTTTAGGCCTTTAAAGACCCTATGATTCTCAAGATTCAGATGTAGTCGAGTGTCAGCACTTGTCTGTTTTGTTTAGTCGTCTAAATCAGATAATTAAAACTGGCTGTAGCATCGATTCATCTGCTTAACTGGACATCTGTGTGTGCACGGTAACTCATCCAGCTGCAGTGACAGATTCTCTCTGTCTCTATCATGCTATGATCAGACAAGAAGTACATATCATGATTGTGTATAGTGCTGAAACAAAGCTCATGGTTATGTCCCAGCTCCGTCATGAGTCTATGACAAGTGACTTAAATGCTGCAGTGAAAATCTTGATCTACATTTCACTTCCTCTTCTACACCTGTAAAACACAGCTCACTGTTTTCACCCAGCCTTCCTCCTGTTACATATGGAACTTACATCTTCCATTGACTGCAGATCCAGGCCTGTGTTTCCTCTCTGTTGGCTGAATTTCAAATGGCTGGTTACTTGTGTCTTGGCTGCACATAAATTCTCCAGGCTCAGTTAATCATCCTTGCTCATTTGCTTTGATGTCCTTTCGCTGGTAATGACTTTGACATCGCTGAACGCAGCCACGACAGGAAGCTTCTCCCACTAGTTTTACAGACTTGCATGACTTAATGAGAGAGCGCCAACCAGGCGCTGTTGTCCCTGACCGTATGTTCTTGTGGGGATTCGAATTTTGTACAAAAACAGAAATCCCCCATGGAGGATACAGTATTTGTTGGTTTTGTGTTTTTAAAAAAGAAACGACTTAGTTAGCAAAACATCCTCTGGAGAGTAGTGAAGCAGATGCTTTACAGTAAGCATGATGCAGAGCTAGCAACAGAGGACTCGTGCCTGTGGCTGAATGAACACACGCCTGGCTGCAGCTCCAACTCATGCCCAATTTGAGTGGCTGTCTTTTCACATTATTCTTTGTTCGCTTGGACAGCCGCCTCGCTTCTGTAGAGCAGGCTTCACATGCACGTACACGACCAATCTGCTCGAACGTTTCGTTTTCATATAGGTTCATTTGTTGCTTGTGTGAAATTAGAGCTATTCAAGTTAAGGCATTTTAATCCCTGGACATTTTTCATCGTTAAACAAAGTGCATGATGGTCAAATACATATTACATCTTTATAATGTATAGCTAGATTAATTAATTTTATACTTACACAAAGCCAGGACCCCCCCTGGTGGCCATTTTCTGTCAAATACATACTGATATCCATACACTTCATGTATTGAAATTCATGAAATTCCTATGCAGGTAATGTTATTCTATTCTATTATTGTTTGGACATATAATCCTATATTTAATTTATCTTAATTGGAGTATTTATCTTTTGTTTCTCTCTGTTCATTATGTTCTGCTCAGCTGTGATAAGGTTGTTAGGATGTTCAGTTTTCAGCTGCAGTGCTGTTGCTTGTGTGTGCACCAGAGGCATCGGCAGAGGAGTTGCTTAAATTGACCTGAGGATGTTTAGAGGGGAGGGTTATTCATTTTCACCTCGTCCTTGGGAGCTTTTGACACTTGAAGAGCTCTCAAAGTGCAGAGAGCTGGTAATAGAAGAATGAAATGCCCTAACATAGAAAATTACATTTGCCATTTTTATCTAGAATAAAAAGAAATGGGTAACAATAACGTAACGAGCCAGTCTCTCAGACTCATCCTGATGATTTGAATTTTCAGGATGTCTGAGCGATTGGCTCCTAAAAATTTTAATTTTCAGGATGAGGAAGATAAGTGCTCTGAAAAAATTAGTTTAGTCAGGGTTTGTACCTCTGTGAATTCGGCACCCGATGTGATATTAACAAAATCATTAAAAATTAATTCTGCTTCCACAATTTTTGTATTATTAGCATGTCATAAATTGCAATAACTTGAGAAATAGTGAAATATTTAGCTTCGCTTGCATTAATGTGTGTGTGTGTAATGATGTGTAAAAACTAGGTTTGTTAGTATTTCCTACG